GCGGCCTTCGTTATTGACTTAAAACTGTAAAGTTGTCTTTAATAGTCAAAATTTCATTGAAAGCTTCATTGCATCCAAGACAGAATCTATTTTATCAATATGGAAATCGAAAATTTCTGGAATATTGCCATGCGAAGGAAAAAAGTCGATGATTAATGAATATATTTACTTTATTGTAATTTTTCGGATAAGCCCTTTGCTATGGTACCTCAACTTTATGACTTTAAGCACAGTACTAGATTGGCGGCAATGTCTTATTATTGTGAGACCGGAAACTACCTACACAATAGACTCTTCCAGGCGTATATTAAGTTGACGACATAGCACTCTAGAGGGTGACAGAGAGTGTTATAGTAAGCTCTGCTTACACTATCTTTGTAACCTGTTGTTAATATATCTTTCTTACATCTAATCCGTGTTCCGTGTTTTACTTCTGTGGTCCCAACTTTGGCCCCACATCACTTATAATTCTACAATTGAATTGGATAGATGTAACTGAAAGTTCTATGCTAGCAGTTTCTTTTTCACTTATCACTTGTTGAACTCTCTTTCGGCTTCTTGCTTTGCAGTCAAATTTGATCTTCGAAAATGTAAATGCAATGTCAATCGTTATCTACTGTCTTCCTGATTACTCTTCTGTTGGTCTCGCTCCTCAATAATGTTTCTATATTTTTAATTTTTTCACACCCTGTAACCCCTTTTGTCTTAATGGCTTTACTGCTTTGCTTGGGTTGATTTCGATTTAAAAAATATAGTATTAATTAACTCTGTATTGGCAGGTAATGTAACGGTTAACGGGTCAGAAAGTACTTGGGAAAAAAAAGAAGGAATCCATCTTGTTTTCATTTAGAAAGTTAAATAGTAGGGTAGATTGGCTAGGGAGCTCAGAGAGACAATTTGTTGGTTCGTAAAATTCGCAATATCACTGAAATTCTTCAGTCATGTGGGTAGCACAATCTGACGGATAAAGTGACTACTTTTAAGGATTAATTTTAACAAAAAATACCAAAGAGACAAACTGATGAAGCAAAACAGGCAACAGAATTTGAACTAGAATTTCCTTCAAATCATTCTCCGGAGAATGCCAAACAAAATGCAAAACAAAAAGTATTCCGTTAGCTAGAGAGCGAGAGAGAATGTGTTGGTTGGTAAATATCGCAAAATGACTGAAACTCTTCAGTCCTGTGAGTTGCGCGCTCTAGCTAGTCGACTGCTCTATGTTTGCTGAACATGTCGATTGATTTAGAGATCGGAATCAGGATCATTGTAAACTCCAAGATCCTTCCGTTAGATGCATAATATATTCTTCGCTAGGGCTAAATATAATTTTGAAATCAGAGTTGTTCTCCTAAACGAGATACCAACCAAGGCTAAAGAGTCCAATGTGTTTTAATGTGTTAATGGTTAGCGAGCTTGCCTGTTTGATAATATTCATTGATTAAACGATCGCAGTTAGAATCATACAATACTTTCGTTAGAGCTACATACGGTTTTGAATTTAAGGTTATTCTTCAATCAAGGCTAAAGAGCACAGTCTGCCCTACATATACCCTCAGTTGGTTGGGGTAAGTTGGATAGATACTTTTACCTGCGCGAAAGTGAATGCAATAAAACTCGACTGGAATTCGAACTCGACTCTATGATTTCTGGGTCTGCGCTCCCAAAAACTCGGTTTGGGTTTATTTTGTTTTACGGCATATCATCCTCAATGATTTATTTAATGCCGACAATATTTTTAGGATAAGTTCGTATAAATAGGATATGTATTCTTTGTGAGAAATCAGTTATTAGGAGATCAGGTTTCATTGACGTATTTTGTACAGAAGTCTTTTCTTGTCGAATAATATTTTTTTCAAAAATGTATTACTTGCTTTTAAAATATGTATTGCTGGTAATTTTACGATAAAAATCTATTTTTATATTTTCACAATGTTTTTAACTCCAGTTTTGGGGTTAAAACTTTCCCATAGCTGGGACCCTAACAGGTGTTACCACTCCGGGTCAGAGTGGATCTAGAAACAACTGCAATTAAGGGGTGGTTTCACTCTCCTCAAACCCTCCTGGTCAGAGGCCTTGCTGCCGGATGTAGTTTATCGTCATACCCAAGATGATCATAGTCGGGATTCTAGACTCATTGTAAAGTCTACGATCCTTACATCGACTGCATAGTATTTGCTACTCCAGAGCTACACGCGGTTTTGAATTCAGATTTGTCCTTCTACACTGGTTGCTAACTATGGCGGAAGAGTTTAGTCTACCTTACTATTTAACCTGTTGTGGTCAGCTTTGCCAAAGAGAAGGAAAGTAGAAATTTTGGGTTTGCGTGTTCTTGTTGTTGAATCATTCTGTATCTTTCTTCTGTCGTAATCAATAATATGAAATTGAGATTACTACCGAGTTAGATAAATACAACATTTATTACAATAGTGAATACATAACAGAAATTTGATGGTGAGAAATACACTTAGCTGAAAGATCCACTGGATTCATGGTTGAGCAGATGAAAGGTTATCGAAATAAAGTTCATAGTATTATCAGAAAATATTCTTTTGACTTGTCTGCAAAGAGTGGAGACGTTCGTCGGAATGACTAGGAGTCGTCTGGCTTGTGAAATGTCTTCTTGGAATGTCTCCCCTTTGGGCTGTCTGATGTCAAGGTGTGCATACCATGCGATTGGCTCCGAGACAAATATTTGGATTTTAGATGTTTCATTGGTTAACACCAACCAATGAGAGCGTTGTGTTTATTGCGATAGTTTTAGACTGTTGCTATGCGGAAATCACGCTGGTTGAAAGATGAATAAGAAAGTATCGGGTAGGACTAGGTGACGACAAACCTATAGCTTGTCGGCGGATGAGATGTTATTTACGCGAAAGCGAAGGTAACGAACTCGACTCTCTGATTTTCCATTCCGAGCCGCTATCCCTTACACCATCCGCCAATGTAACAAACAGATCTCAATACAGACCTATGTCTTATCGTGAAAAATCGCTCCACAGACGGATGAAAAAGCGTCGGATTTACTTCGCTCAAGAATCAACCATAAACGTATCCGCAAATAGAGATGGTGTATTTTTGTGTATATCTACCATGTTAAGAAAACCAGAGATATGGGTGATGACATCGAAAGGAAGTTGGACAACGGCAGAGTCAACATAAGTCGGAATCGAGGCTTTATTAACACCCTTATGACAAGCATTGCATAAAAGCCAATATTTATGCGTAAGATAGCTGCTCAGCTAAATATAGAACCCCTCCAAATAACCCTCAGCACGGACTTGCATACCAATCTGGGGGTAAAATCATACACCAGAGCGCCAAGGCACATCCTTACAGAATCTATGAAGATCAGATCTGGCTGTTGGAAAGATGCAAGAAAAGGCTTAAGTAAATCAAGTATCATTGGTTCACTAATAAAACATTCTCTGACTAGAAAATCCTCACAAGTAACGCTGCTTTAGATCACTGAGACGGTTAACATGTCGCTGAATCAATAGTTGATATCAAGGGCTGCTTCACGATTAAACATACAATCCCAGGTCTTGGATTGCGAATGGGAAACGATGTCCTCACTCTTCTACAAGAATAGGAAAAAGATGGCTCCTAATTCCTGCGAGAAAGGCCTGAGGTCTCATTGTTGGCCATGACTAAAGACTGATCACCCAGTTAGTAACTGTATGTGAACCCAGTACGGTGATCTCAATCACACAGAAAGAAGGTGCGGGAATTAGGCTAAGTCAGCTTTGCTTATTTGGGGCCAAAGGACCTCTGGACTGACTTTAACCAGAACCTAAACTTGTTTTTGTTTTGTATTTTTTTTATACATTAAGGTTTACTCTGTACAAGGCCAGGGGCCACTTGAGATAGAGGATTATGTTAGGGAGCAATTTGTGCGGTTAGGAGGGAAAAAATAACAGGTAACCCTAGCCTTGAACAGGTTAAGATTGTAGTGATCGAGGAAACATCCTCTTGGTAGTTGGTTCAACAGGGTTCGTGGGAAGAAGCTGTTCGAGTGGAACATAATTCTCACCGAGAGAATACGGGGGTAATGCGGGTGGTTTGCTACTATGTAAGTGGCATGTCGTGTCCTTGCCGTGAAGGTTTGAATTGGCGGGACCACAGAACGTAGTTCGCCCGAGAACTTTCCGTTGAAGTAGCGATAGAGCAGCGAGAGGTTTGTCGCATTCAGCCCGTGAGAGAGTGGTTTAAGGGTGGAGAATAATTCGTCACTCACAACGGCTCGGATACGCTTTTAGACTCTATCAAGGCTGGAGAGTGAAGTCTGGACTGCTCCAGCCTAAATATGACAACAGTATTATACAGGACGTTTTGCCGTAGTGTACAAATAAAACCTTCTACCACAACAACAATACTTTCAAATCTGCGAATAAGGAGGAGACAAAGATAGTCGAAGACTTTGTGATTAAGAGTTGCGCAGGCTTTTGAGTTCATGTTGAGGATGTACTTGAAAATAATAGAAACTACATTGAATAATTCATTTTTGATATTATCTATAAGTTTTAATATCCTTTTATAGTGATAAGCCTGTTTATGCATAATAAGTAAGCTCTGAATGTCATAGAAATTTTCAATTTTACTTCCCCACCCTATGTGTGTGCGTGATCAAGTTGAGTTTGCTAGTTAACTAGCTGGCTAGATAGATATGAAAGTGCAGTAAATATTGATAAGTTGATACGAACAGACGGGGATAGATAAATATGAACAATCATATCTTACCATCTATATAGGATGATCAGGGTAGGCGTGTTGAGAATATTAATCTGGTCCAATGTTCTTTTCTATTCCTTTCCTCTGTTTCTTTTTTCCTTTTTTTTTTTTGTCTCTCTTTCTTGTCCTCTTTGGACGACCACTTTGAGGCGGAGATCGCCCGGCATTGAATCGAAATAAACCCGGCGGTCATATGAGAAAGAAAGAAAAGAAAAAGTGCTTGGCGTGTCGGTCGCCTCTTGCTTCTATTTAATGATCGATTGATCAAATTTATGTCTAAAACAATTTGCATTTCCCTCAACAGACCCTCGGGTGATCCTATTTCTATTCGAACCCCGATCCTCCAGCCTAGCCCACCACCAACTCTTCCCCCTTTTTTTTTCTTCCTCCAACCTTTCCCCCCAACTTCGCCACTCCATTCTCTTACTCATTGCTTCCACTATAGTCGATTCTCCTTGCTCACTAGTTATTCTTTCTTAACTTTTATTTCTTCTGTCGCCACTTCTGCCTTTTCATCCTATCTTTATTTTTGCCTTCTTTTCGTTACCTTTTCATTATTTCTAGTGGTCGTTTCGTGTCGGATCTGAAAATGTGAACGTATACACTCAAACATATCGATTCGGCAAGGGACACACAAATTCACGAGTACAGTTATACAATAGTCCCTCCTTATTCGCGGGTGATACAGTTCAGATGCTTGAAACCGCGTCTAGTACCGGACCCCGATATATAATTATATTTTTCCTATACATACATACATGACGATTGTTGACTCGGTAAACGAGTATGACTATCACTGACAAGTTTTCCGTCTACCTTGATTTGGGTGAATTCGGAGTTTTCCTTCTCCTGAAGAGTCCGGTCTGTCCTACTTTTTAACACACAGCTGAGCGAACAATGGCTGCTAGAATGTTAAGTGCTGAGATTATAGTTGTGTAGGACTTGCACAACATCGTCACAATTCGTATCAGCAATGCTTAGAATTCCAGTGACAGGCAGGAGGGAGATATCTAGACTAAAAGTAAGTTTCCCTTTTTTTAGACGGATGTCTTATCAAAGGCATAGGATACATAATTCCCAATGGGCTACCTGCTCGCCTGGTCCCTACCCCAGGTATGTCTAGGCCCCGCGCTTATTTACATACATACAAGCATACATACATACACATCTATCTTCTTTCTTTATGTGCCGCATCTTTTCAGGCCATGAGCGTTCATGGCTCTCCAAAACTTCCTATGCTTCGCTCTTAACAGTATTATCAGTACCAGTCCTTGTTCTGCCATCCATTTGCACAAGTTCCTTAGGTACGTTATTTGATATTTCCTTCTGTTCCTGTTGCCTTTAATATGTCATGTGAGTGTTAGATTTTCTAAGCCTTCAATCCTCATTATGCGTCGCAGAAATACCAACTTCCTCTTTTTGATTTTAACTACATGTATTTTTTGTTCTTATTTTCGTTAAACTTCCCATGTTCCGACCATGGTATTCTCAGGATCCTTCTGTAGAGTCATATCTCTGTTGCCTCATATTTCCGCTTCATCTTTGAGAAAGTTGTCCAGCATTCACCGACTTATAGAATGGTTAATATTAAATAGCAGTTTAGCCTTTTCTTTGTTTCTAATGATTTTTTCTGTTACTTTTCTTGCATGTCGTCTCTAATTTATAACTCGCAACTTGGGCTGTCCCTTTTGCTAACGACTATAGTTTCTCTCTTCTTATAGTTGTTGCTTACTGGTTTTTTGGCTCTTAACTATGATAGTTTGCCTAGGTGTTCCTGTAGTTTCTTTCTATGTCTACCATCAGCATAGTGTCATCTTCGTATCTCAGGTTATTAAGATTGTGTCCGCCAGTAATAAATCTAGATAGGTGTTCTAGTTCTCTTAGAATCACCTCACTGTATAGGTTGAATAAATCTAGTGCATCCTTCTCTTACGCTGGTTTGTATTTTTGCTTACCTTCTTAAAACATTTATATTCACGTGCTGGCGGTTCATTCCTAGTAAATGTTCCAGATTACTCTAATATCTCCTAAATTAATCAAGTTTTCCTAGCAGTACAAATAGATCAATGCGTTGTCGCTTATCAAATGCTAGTGTTTCGCCTATTATAAAAGCGTCTTCTTCTCATTTTGGCATGTCCGAGTTGTCAGTATCACGACACTTGGCTTGAAGTACTTGATTTAGGTCTAAAACAATTTGCATTTCCCTCAACAAACTCTAGGGCGATTCTATTTCTATTTGAACTGCAATCCTCTACACAACCAACTCTTCCTTTTTTTTCCAGCGTTGCCACCTCTGTCTCTGTTGCCTTGGATACATCCTGTGAGTGTCAAATTCTCCAAACCTTCAATTCTGTTCAGGACATCTGATATCTTGCAACTTGAGCTCTCCCTCTTGCTAACGACAAATAGATTCCGTTTTCTTGAATTGTTTTTCTCTGTGTTGATAGCGGATAACTGAAATTGTGGATAACAGAAATCGCGAATAACTGAAACTGCGGATAACGAGAACAGCTGTATATAGGCAAGCCAGCCCGATCTTTGACATCTGGTGGGTCAGAATAAACACCAGTGAGACTGGCATGTGAAAGGGAATTATTGCAGTTCGAAGGGGTCGTCATAGCGGGTGCCAGACGGATCAAATATACCTTTTCTGAAAATTTGAGGATATTTGACATCCGTCGATCTATGGTTTTGTCTACGTATCTGAATGGCATGATGACAAACATCACCGCCAACAGTGGACAATGAAGTGACCTGCAGAAAGTCCTTAATGATCAGTACTAGAGGCGTCTGGCTAGAATTGTATGTGATAGTAAATAAAGGAAAATGATTCAAATCACGTCTACATTCAATGCGAGAGGTACCATAATCAGGAGGTCAGTTGAATGATCTTTAGTTTTCATGGGATATGGGAGCAGAAGACTTGCCATGATGCTCATGTGAACACACTGATACTGGACGGCTAGTCATCTGAGCGTTTGATATCGCTCATTGGACCCGGGATGACAGACAAGCTGAGGTGTGGCCCATTTAGTCAGTTAAATTTGTTTCAAGTTGTTAGTATCTTTCGGGTATCACAGAAGACTTCATGAGGCTATGGGCATCAGCTATCAAGAAAATACCATGGTTCCATATTCGTGCGTGGTGCGTTCATGTGGCATCGACTGAGGCTCTGATCCGCCTACAAACTGTCTCGTGACACTTTGCACTGATTTCTAGATTTCATGTATCCTACTAAGGATTCATTGCAGGATCATGAATCGTGTCATAATTAGTTTGGGGAACATTCTGGAGAATTACGATGAATGGTACGGTCAACACGTTCAATCGACATGAGCCTAATTGAGCATTTATGAGACCGGGTGGAGAGGTCTAGTCGCCCGTAAAATTCGGCACTTATCAGGTATCAGGAAAACCGTAGACATGTATCGAGACGGCATGTTTCTACATTACTCTAGAGCAGTGTTTCTCAAACGTTTTAAGCAACGGCACATCTAAGTGCAAATGAAAATGTCACGGCACATTTGAAATTTTTTAACTGGTATACATTTAAATATTATGGAATAAAATCATAGATTAAAAAAATACGCACAAATATTGGACTTTATTTCAAGGTTTCTATTCGACTAATTTTGCAGCTTATTTAGTTTGAAACCTGTGCCTAGTGTTCGTTTTTTTTTTTTTCGTGATTTCTTCAATGTTTGGTCGAATGCGCGATAAGCAAACCCCCATTTCTTCTTCAGTAGAGCGTAGTCTTTTTCGCTTCATATTGTTGATGTTATTTAGGATTGAGAAGCCTAATTCCCATAAATAAGAAGTAGAAAATTGCAATAAAAGTGAATAAAAAATTAGCCAATGTGGGATAAATAGATTAAGACTTATTCATTTATTTAAATACTAACATTGTATCATTACTACTTCCACACACATATACATATGTATGCCATGACAATATTTCGTAATCGCTCGGCACACTAGTTTACGGCACGGCGATTGCGAATCACAGCTCTAGAAGTTATCTGATCACTTGTGGAATCGACACCGTCAAATTGCTGCAGATTATCAGACTATAAGGAGTCCTATACGATTCAAGGCACCTATCCCTTGAGTTTTCGAACGTCAGTATATCTACTTTGGAATCAACCTAAACCCACTTCCACATTCATTGTGGAATTCACTTGATTCACTTCTAGCAGTTGACTACTTCTTCTACACACTGCTGGCGAATCTTATATGCGTTGTTCATGTCCTAAGTATTATCATTCATTACCAACCTTCGTGTGATTATTCTATTCAGTAACCTTTCCTGGTTTACAGAGAGAGAGAGAGAGAGAGAGAGAGAGAGAGAGAGAGAGAGAGAGAGAGGGTTTTTTTGTAATCATTTCACACCAAGCAACGCAATAAGGTCACTAAGACGCAAGGGGTTATTGAGTGTGAAAGAATATAAGAAAAAGAAAAACATAAAACAATAATAGGACAGGAAGATAGAAGATAATGTTTGAAACTGAATTTAATTTTTTGAAGATCAAATTTGTCTGGAAAACAAGAAGCGGGAAGAGAGTTCCACAAGCGAGAAATGCGAGAAAAGAAACTGTTAGAATAGAACTTACGGTTACATTACAACTGTAAAATAATTAGACCTAATTGCCAATCTTGTACTGCGCTTAAATTCATAAAGTCTAGGTACTATAGAGAAAGGCTCATCAGATCAGAACATGATAATATATAATATATATATATATATATATATATATATATATATATATATATATATATATATATATATATATAGGTAGCTCCACTAATTCGGTATGTGTAAGGTTTAAAATTAATTTAAAAAAATGAAAAGGCTTTCTTGAAGCTTTCATTTTAGCTTTAATTGAAACCAAAAGGATTTAAAATTTACTATTTCCAGTCAGCAAAATACTCTGTGGCGTATTTCGAACATAAATTATATTGCTCGGAATCGATTTTTTTCCAGTAAAATCGATAAAAATCGACCATTTTGACAGATTAATTCTCAGTTTTAAAAATCTTGCAAAAATAAAATATATATTTCTGAAACATTATTTGAGGAAAATTACCTAATTTAACGTTATATTAATCTGATCTGAAATACACATTACTTACTTAATTAACATTACTTACTTACTGATTTGAAATAAACATTACTTACATAAAATGTTGTATACAAACATTTCTTAACAAGCGGGTTTTGTTTTTTCTGACGTACTATTCGATTTATTAACTGCCGAAAGTGTTCCTAGTTAAGTATGGTGAAGCAGAGAGACAACCCTTAAACACGTGACCTTTTAATGATAGATTTATCGATTTGTACATCCATATTTCAGAAATTCTGCATGCAAAAACACATACAAAAACAAATCGAAATTCTTTTAAAAATATTTGGCTTCGTCAGATTGTAAAAATCTTTACAATATATGATTAGTAAATATAGTTTTACTTAATAATACTTTCTAAGAGTTATTATATTGAAACTGAATTTTAAATGATTTAAAAACTTTTTAAATTATTCAATTTAAAATTGTCAAAAATTGAAACAAATCTCGTAAAATTTCATTTTTTATCGAAATTTTTGCTTCCGAAAATATTGTCTTTAATATATATTTTGCGATTAAAAGCTTTTCTAATTAAATAATGTCTTAGATTTATTGCATTTTTATTTATCGATTCAAAACAGATTTTCTGTAAGACGAGGTCCGATTTTCAAAAAAAAAAAAAATGAAAAATCGGTGATTTAAATTTTTCAAAAATTTCTGCTTTTAACTAATATAGTCATGACAAATTATCTCAATGAATTTATGAGGTTTTATAAAATTAAGTAAGGCGGGGGGGGGGAAACACATGTAAAAAAATATTTTTATCAATATTCCCTAATAAAAAAATTTCAAAAATAGTTTCATTCATCATTTTTGAATAAGTCCTGAAAATTTCGATAAAATCCGACAATTATTTGATTTTTGCAAGAATTTCCAAATTAATGTGTCTGTTACCGAAAAAAAAATGATATGCTAAAAGTTAATACAACCGCCGACGCAAGAAAAACAAGTTTTTTAATCAAAATTTCGAATGTTCTAAAACAGACTTCAAAAATATATAAATATTCGAAAATAATTTGATCCTAATAACATAAAAAATTTAATGGTAAAACTATATTTTCATTACCTTTGGAGCATGTTTTCCTCGCGGTATGCTGAATTTTAGCGATTTCCTTTATATCATGTCTGGTTGATCTCTTAAGACTAATCATTCATTTTTTATCCAACAACAACAGAGAAATCAAAATATGCAGCTGTCTGTCATGTTTATTTATTATTATTTGTTTATTGTCAGACGGATCTGGTGTATTTTTAGAGCAGCAAGAACTTTCATAAACTTCACGTTCTCATCGTCAGGTTGTAATTTTTTTCATTAGAAATAAAACTACAAGACGAAATAAATGTATAGTAGACCGAAAGATTTTTTAAGAATGTATATTATATATATATATATATATATATATGTGTGTGTGTGTGTGTGTGTGTGTGTGTGTCTTTGTGTCTGTCTTTGTGTCTGTGAGTGTGTCTTTGAGTCTGTGTACGTTTGTGTGTGGAACCCCGTTTACAGAATTGTAGGAAAATAAAATAGATTTAGGTACTATCACTGGAAACTCATCATTGGACAAAACTGGCTCACACAGAAATTAACTCATTTTTGTACATGAGCTGGCTCAAAATTTGAATTTCTTCATTCATATATATTAACCAATCAGCGACGTCATATAAGACGCGAAGTATTCACAGATATTACAGTTAATAAATATTTGTTGTTTACTACAAAAGTTTGGGAAATCACTTCAGAAAATGATCAAACAATATTTTTCCTCCTTGAAATGGATATTTAAAAATTTGGAAAATATTTATTAATCAATAAACGTATGCGTTTAGTAAAATCTAACTTTTAGAATTTTAGAGCCTATATTATTCTTATAAATAGGTTGATGTTAAATTAGTAAATCAGCTTTTCAGTTAACCTGTAATCAGGGTGGTCGTTCGTTTGTTGTACAAACTGACTTACTGAAAAGTTAATTGCTCACATTTTTGCATATTTATTGAGTATACTATATTACAAAATAGGCTTAACTATATTGATACATAAAACACACTCGGACCGAATTATTAGTCAACAAGAGATATTATTAGTAGTATCAATAAAACCGTTTTGACTGCCGTCTTGGTTACTTCTGCTATCAGTTGTCGACTGCTACAATTATACGCATACATAAAACAGCATAATTACGTTACACACACATTCTCACATGTAGTCGTATTCTGTTTCTTCTGTACTAACGCAATTGAGTCGGTTGTATGGTAAAGCCAACAGCAAAAAATATTTTTTGTGCGAAGTTCCTTCGCAAAAAATTTTTGTAATTCATTTCTTTCAATTTAAAAGAAAAATAATACTCAATAATAAAAAAATAAATTATTTAAATTTGTAGAGCCGTATTGAAGATCACTTATTTGTACGTTTTATCCGTGCATATTCCTCTACATATGCATGTTCATTAACAACCTGGTGTTTCACGCTTGGCTATTTTTCAAAATGCGTGCAAGTTTATTTTGAACGCTCTCGAAATCGATCTCGAGAGTGTTCACAATGAACAGGCAATATTTAAAAAAAAAAATCGATTAGCGTAAAACCAGCTATTAATAGGTAAATAGATAAAAATGCTATTTTTATGATTATAAGAAGGCCTTTTAAATGTATTTTACAGAAAACACTAATAAGAAAAGGAACATACGAATAATAATAACAATGATAATAATAATATATATATATATATATATATATATATATATATATATATATATATATATATGCGTGTGTGTGTATCTGTGCAGCTACCTTTCTTTTAAACATGTTTCGTTGAATATGACAGACAAGGAGCGTTTAATTAATTTTATTTAGTTTTGTGAGCATTCTTACATTTTTCCGTGGGAGTGTAAAACTTGTCCGTATTGTCCATGCTTGATTCTTTTTTGTTTAATCGTTTCCAGTCTTACTTTTGTAATTTTATTATGTTCACATTCGTTTTTCTCTTTCTTTCTTGAAACTTCAGCTTTGATTCTTTTGTCTAAAGATTTTCTTTTCTTTTTTTCTTTTCTTTGCTTTCTTTTCTTTTCTTTCTTTCTTTCTTTCTTTCTTTCTTTCTTTCTTTCTTATGACCGTTTCATTCATCTTTCCGTCCTCCCAAAACCCGTCATTTATCACCCAAGCGCACTGCACATTTTGTGTGTCCATCTCCTTAATTCTAATAAACGTTGCTGTCATCTAACCCTTCATCATCTTCCCCGCTCAACGTCCGATGATCCCATCGCATCATCACCCTTAATGATCACTCATCACAGCCAAGAACCCCATCACCACCGACAACGTAAAACGTAACCATCAATTCCTTTATTCTCACTGCCACTGTAGTCTGACCATTTCTTTTCTATCCAATTTTTTCGGAGTCCCTTTTTCTTCTCTTCGTCATTATTATTATTATTATTATTATTATTATTATTATTATTATTATTATTATTATTATCCTTACCATGTAATCCCAAATATCGTTTTCATTGTTACCAATATAAATATAGTTCACTTATGATGGATCGGTTTCTGGAGTTTCAGTAAGTTAGATGCACTGAAGGGATTAGTTTCTCTTAGTAAATGATACCTGATTTATAAGTACAGTGAGCAGCATTACTAGGATCTGTATGACTTTCGTTTTTCTAATATGTAATTATTATTGTGAACTTGGAATTTTAATAATAATAAGTAACAGTAACAATAATAATAATGGTAATAGCGAGATTAGCCGTTTCCCTATAAGGAAACATTCTACTTTCATTAAATGAACAGTTAGCGTTATTGTCGGCTGGAAATGATGAAATCTTTCTCTCAAAATAGTTCTTCAGGAAAATAAGTTTCGCAAGTCCACTAACTGTTATTGCTCTTTCTAATATTGATGTCGGTTTACGGCCATATCATGTTGAAGCATCGGTTCTCGTGCAGTCGCCGAAGTTAACCAACGTCGAGCCTGGTCAGTACTTATGTGGGTGACAGCTTGGTAATACCAAGTGCTGTAAGCTCGGATGTGCCGATGGTGCATTGGATAATGTCACCGAATTGTTAATCGGAGAGCCGAGTTCCAATTCCAGTTGGGTTCGTTATATTCATTTACGCACAAGTACCCTTGGGAAAGGTATGAATCCACCTCTTACCCCCAACTATGGGTTAATTAGTAAGACTTGTATCATTTGTAAGACTTGTATTCTTCTAATCTAAAATATTTTCTGGCTTTAAACAACCTGGAAAGGGTTGATAAGCCTTCGAAAACAAAACAATGAACATCTTGCGTAGATTTCTCCCCATGCAGTGAAAATTAATTTTTTACTGATTGTATAGCACCCCACCTGTTCGCATCTTCTTATGCAAATTTATGACCTTAGGTCTCTGGTTGGGACCTGGAAAAATGAGTATACACCAGAAATCAAAGGAATAATAATAATAATAATAATAATAATAATAATAATAATAATAATAACTAACCCGAAATGCAGGATCTGAGGAAAATATGATGAAACTGTCGACAATATCTCAGGATGTCCGGAACTGGCAAAATTTGAATATATCCAGAGACATAGCAAAGTAGTGACATATATGCACTGGAAGATATGCAAGAAGCACAAAATCGAAACAACTGAGAAATGGTATGAGCACAACCAGACACTGTTACCCAAAATAATGATGTAACTATCCTCTGGGACCTACTAATTCAAAATGACAGAGAAATAAAACCCAACAGACCTGATATTATCATAAAAGACAAGAAATCCAGGAAGTGTATGCTTATTGACATAGCAGTACCATCTGAGAGAAACACTTCCATAAAAATTATGGAGAAATTGTCTAAATACAAGGACTTGGAGATTGTGATTAACAGGATGTGAAGAATGAAGCCTGAGACTTTACCAATGGGACTCGTGAGAAAAGGAATGGACTATTTTACTTACAGTGTCCCACGTAACATCAACATACAAGTTGTCCAGAAGATCACCCTACTAAGAAAAATGTTATCAATTAAATGACAATTCTCCTATAGGGCCTAAGGACCATAGTTTGGACCAGGCTCTACAGGATACAAAGCAGGAAACATAAAATACACAAAAAATAATACACTTTGAGAAGAACGCATTTTAAGAAAAGAACAAGAAAAGAATAGACACGGTGTTTAACAATATTTCTACATTATGTCTGTTATGTTTAAAAATTGCATACAGGTATAAAAAATATTAAAAAATACAAGTCTTTGTGCAAACGTCGATTAGTAAGTGCAATTAATCAAATAGTTGAGTATAAATCATATGGAACTCTCCTGTCATTTTCTTCTTTCCACCGGGTGGGACGTTAGTAATTTGTAATTATTATATTTTCAATTCATTATGTAATTATCTTCATGGGTTTTAAGGGTTGAAATTATGGTGGATTCTGGATATTCTTTCAGAATGTGTACCTTAAGATGTTCCGCGAATAATATAAATAATATATTGATAAAAGTTTAATAATTTTAGTACAGAGAGAAGCAACAATTATGTCGAACATTATTGTAGCATTTGGTAAAGTTTGAAAGTTTCTAACACAAAATTATTGAATGGATTTGAAACCAGAAAAAGTAATGAATGATTAAAAACAAGTAAATTTTATCAGCGCACAGTCTTGGAGTATTTTGGGGGTATGCTGACACTTGTTCCACAGCGAGAGCCAACCAAACATGACTTGCGGTAAAATTTATAAAGGGTGTTTCATTAAGACGGATCAAATTCAGCAGTAAATAAATCAGTGTTATTGGCTAAAATTTATTCATTTTTCTATTGGTTCATGTTATTTAAGTCAAGGCAATTATGTGTGAAAAATAATATCGCCCAAATGTCCGCCAAATCTGAAAGAAAAAGAAAAAAAATCATTAGACGCTTAGAGTTAATTTGCATTTAAAATCGGTCCAAATTATTGGAACACTCTTTATTTTCATAGAATAAAAAATCTGGAAGAATATCTGAACCTTGAGAGAGAAATGAAAGGATCCGCCATCATTAATGGTTCGCTTTGTAATAGTATTTTGTGATATCAGACACAAAGCGCTTATAGAGTTTTTGTGTGAGTAAACTTTCTTCTTTGAACATTGTAGACTGGCGCAGCAGAATTACAAAGAACTGTACAAAATGGCAGAAAACATATCAACAGCAGTAACAACAAAAATTGGTAGCACATGTAAACTAGAAAAGAAAAATAATGGCATAAAGAAGATGTTAAAATTTCACACCACTTCAAATAGAAGGTTCGACAATAAACCCTCATCAATGGTGTAAAACCTGTTTTCCTAAAAAAGTGTTTTAAGAGAAAGATTTTATAAATTTTAGCCGAAATCAATCAGCACTGGTTGGTCGGTTTATGAATGCCAAGTATTTTCTTATAAGGAAACGGTTAATATTACCATTAACACTATAGTAATATTGTTATATCGGAACGTACCTATTTCTATTGTAAATAGATTCTCCCACAGATAATAAGTAGAAGTAGTAGCAGTCGCCAGTGGAGCTCAGTGAGTTGGTCTGAGTTCAGTCTGAAGTCGGACGACCAGCTGACCGGTTGAACTCTCTGCCTTCGGGCGGGAGGAACCCGAACGAGGCTACGCCGAAGGGCGGTGTCTCTTTCGGGGAGGTAAACCGACCCTGAACCCGTTTATACGGGTTCAATGGGCATATTTTTGGCCGAGCCCACGGGCTCGGAGATCCCACGTTAAAAAGGCCTTGTGCCACATGACGCCCTCGTGGGGGTGGGGGTGACTGAATATCGCTCAGTGAGTTGTGTGAGTCAGTCGATGTCGGACATTAAAGTATGAGCCCCACAACTAGATTGCTGCGTTATTAACTATTATTTCAAGTTCCTAACGTTTTGTACGTCGAACCTAATTTAGGACCGATTTAGTGAAATACAAGCCTCCACTGTGAAAACTACTCTACAACAAATATATATATATATATATATCATAAAAGCTATTAATATGAGCCAATGGAGATGCTTTTCAGATTGAAAACGAAAAACAAATACAATCTGAACGATACATGTTGATTTACCTTAATCTTTAAAGTCTGGGACATTACACCTTTGAGACCTGCGTTCCTGAACAAATTTAACCCTTTCTGTCTGAGCTCCTGAATCAAAGTTCGCAAATAATTGGTATGTAATGTTTCACGGTAGATATACAAAGAGTTACAAGTGTTTACCCACCGTTCAACCGGTAGCTGGGCATGAAGTATTTGTCTCTACCACTATTCAAACGGTGGTTGGGTATTACGTCATTTTTCTCTATCACCGGTAAATTGGTGGTCAGGACTCAAAGGGTTAAAGTTGTTTATGAAGGAACTGTGCAAAAGTTTTTACTTGTGTATAAACGCTAATGTCGGTTAGACATACGACTAGCAAATCCACCCACTAAAAATCTACAGAAACCACAGCAACAACACTCAACGTAGCGAGGGTCTGGCCTTAGATTCTAAAGGGTAACCTACAAAGCTAATATACAAAGAAAATGTTTCTTACTTGATGTTTTTCTTTATCCTGAATTATGGTTAATTCTTGGTAAATATTTGTCAGAGATTTCTGAAGGGAAGGAAAGTGCCAAAGGTTTTTCAGACGAAGTTCTGATGGCAGAGGACTGGAAAAACTTTTCTTTACAGCAAAAAGGATGTGGGATAATCTGGTGTCACTCTTGTGAGTGACTGAAATCGGTTGTCGAGTTGTTTGAGTTTTTATAGCCTAATGAATCCCTGGAACCAGAAACTAATATTTTTTCTTTCAGGGCATTCTTTTTTTAATTTTATTTTAATATATCTTATTAATTGTGAAGCTTAATATGCTTTATAGCTGGGATCGTGAAGTTGTGTACATGCGTGAAAAATTGGTATCCATTTACTTTTTGTCTAAACTAATTTGGTTATTTGAATGCCGGAAATGATTTTATTGGAACAGAACTCGGTGTTTTTTATTTTGTTTTGTTTTGTGATGAAGGAACAACTATTTTCGGTAGTGTCTGTGAGAAGGTTTGGTGTATACAGGGTATCAATACATCGATAAGCAATGTTATTATTTTCTATGACAAATCTCACTTCTGGTACTCTCTCTCAGCTTTCTGCATACCTGTCAAAGATTTAAATGCAATGTCAATAGACATTTTCTGTCTCCCTGAATCGTGTCCTTTTATTGTTCTCTCTGTTTCTTTCACTCTCAGTAAACCCTTTTATCGTCTTTCTTGGGGTGAAATGATTATACGATGATTATATATATATGTTATGGGACCTTACCCATAATAAAATAATGGATTATTCCATACGTAATAAATACTGCGGCTCAAGAGGAAGCAGGGAGTTCCGTCTGCAGTCTGAGTTCAGAGGCAGTCCGAATCAGAGTCGTGTTCAGACAATTACTACTAAACCTGATTGTTCGTACTAACACTTTTCTACCTCTCTGTATATATTCCTGTTTGTAATATATCTGTGTTATTCCATATCCGCCTTCGAGTTCTTCTTTATTGGTTCTACCTTGGACTATCACCGTGGTACAAGGAACCGGACCATAACAATATATATATATATATATATATATATATATATATATATATGACGTCACACATTATGAAATAGAAAAAGTCCAACAATTATTTTAAGACATTTTTATGTTTATACATTCTTTTTATAGGTACAGGTATTTAAGCAAATGCTCTGTTTATAATAAACAGTATTAAACAACATTTACCGGCCTGAATGTCCGAGAAATTTTCACAGAAAATATTCGTTCTCGACAGGATTCGAACCTGTATCCTATACGGAACCGTCATTTAGCTTGACGTGCCTTTACCGATTTGGCCACGAAGGAGCGTTCGGTTAGCAAAATCGAATTTATTGTCTTTAAACTTCAATCTTTCATGAATCTCTCACGTACATTCATGTCTGCTCATAGCGTATCAAATGTAAACAAATGACGTCACACGTTATGAAATGGACAAAGTTCGAGAATTATTTTAAGACATT